AGTTGCTGTCCTTGGCCTACAGATACGCCCAGCTTCGTCGTATAATGAAATATCTTGGAGTCGGATGATATAGCCGTGCTTGCTACCGATACACAGATATTCGGATCTGCGAAGCAAGAAGAAGTAGCCGAGCAGAATACCACCCCAGAGCGAGCTTCCTGGAGGTTTAGACTGGAGGCAATCGCTTTCAGGAGGTTGACCGACAGGGGATATTGCTTGGTGACTGGCTTAGTAAACCGGCGAATTCCACGTAATAAGATGGCGTGGCTGGCGTTAACTCCGGGATCATACCCCAAGTTGTTCTTGTGATACCAGCGTACCGCGCAAAGTTTCGCACAGATGGTAGAGTAAGTGTTTCTTTGAGCATCATTCCTTCGTCGTCTACGCCGCCGTCCACCACCTTCCCGTATGCGTAACCGTCTGTGTGTAGGACAGATGGAGAGAACAGGGAGAATATTGCGGCTGGGGCAATATCGGATCGGAACTTCGATCTCGAAGGTTGGGCATGATCTACCGGAGTAGGCACGACGCGAAGAGACGGCTTGAGAGCTACAGCTAAAAACTGGAAATGACTAGTCTTCACTATCTCTCGTGCGATCGGGAAACGGACGCCTCTCTAGGACTCAATTTTCTTCGAGCTTCTTCGTCCGTTGCGAAACTACCCATTTCTTGTTCTGTACAGTAGTTTTTTGTGCTTTCTCAAGTAATTCGTCAAAGTGGCTAGTAGCATCCTTTTCTTGGTCAATTTCATCGAAGGATTTATTACAGGTCAGGAACAAATTTGGTCACGTCGAAAATGATCACATTGGTCACAGGTTGCATATGCTTGGTCACGTACGAAGGGCGTGACCAATTATTGTTGATCATGTTCAATTTAAAGATGGCGGCAAAGGGTTATTGCTTCAAGTGGTTTTGCACTCTATTTAGCAATACTTCACACTCTAAACGCTGCACAAGCTTTCAGCAACGCTTCACCCTGCAACGGCACCTCTTAGAGCAACTACTACCTCTACTACGTACTACTGTCTCAACTGCCAGTAATATGGCGCGGCCGAAACGCCGAGGAAGCCGGCGCCGGTATGCATCGACGTCTCGACCTTCAACACGTCTACCTAACGCTCAGCCTGGGTTAAGTGATAACGAAGCCCACGATTCGCCCCTATCTACCCCCGATCCTGTTGTTCCAAACCAAATTCAGCTTCCAGATGACCAAGGAGCAGCGTTGAGCGCTGAGTTGTCCTCGTTAGCAGCTATGCCCAGCTCGGAGGCAGCAGCATCAAGCTTTACTTCATCTCTGAACGTCCCCGTCACGGACAGTGTGGGCAGCTCGGCTTCATTGCTACCTAATGTTCCACGTACACCAACCTTAGTCTCATCTACAGCAACGACAAGGCCGCGCTCGACCGAGTGAGAATGCAGAACGAAGATATATTGTATGAGATACGAGTACACACGAGCAAACGCAACTGGTGTGAAGATCACCTACAGATGCAGCTATTATCGGAAGCCAAAACAGTGCCCAGTGTTTCATGCCGAGACTATTGCCTACGATTTTGCCAACATGATTCATCGTACTGACCCATCAGGTCGCCCTGAGCGTCAAACTACACCTACAACCATAGCAAGAGTCACCCAAGCTTGAAGTAGAACGGCTTTGGGTAACGAACGTCTGGAACCAGTGTCCATTGTTCCTTCTGCAACAGTAAAACGTCTCCAGCCTGGTGTTTTTCTAGTTGAAGGATTATCTTCTCCCCGACGCAGACTACAGTCTCGCACCAGCAAACACAGTGTGCGCCGCCTCAAATACCAGCACGCCTACACTAGGATTCCCTCCGTGTATAAACCGGTTGGCGATGCACTCCATCAACGCGTCGATCTCTGCGAGCGTTAGCGCCTTTCTGACACTTGCCGTCTGTCACCACTTGGAGCTGGCAGTGGCCATGGGGCTGCTGCGTGTCGTCGAGCTTGAGCTATCCTCTCCACCTTAGGCTTCCTCCAGTACATCTTAG